TGGGTGCTGGGAATTGGACCTGGGTCCTCTGCAAGAGCAGTCAGTGCTCTTAACTGCTGAGCCATCTCTCCAGCCCCATAAAGCTACATCTTAATAGCTCAGTGGGACAGCAGTCAGTGCTCTTAACTGCTGAGCCATCTCTCCAGCCCCATAAAGCTACATCTTAATAGCTCAGTGGGACAGTGTTTGCTTAGTAGGTATGAGGCCTAAGTTCAAAAACAGAACAAAACTCCTGTAGTTTAATTTAGAAAAGCATTTAATCCTAGCACTTGGAGGCAGAGGCAAGTGGATCTCTGTGAGATTGAGGCCAGCCTGTTCTACATAGCAAGTTCCAGGCCAACCAAAGTTACATAGTAAGACAGGATCTCATAATAAACAAACAAACAAATAAATAAATAAAGCTTATTATATATGCAAACCTTTTAGGGACTAAAAGATGAGCAAGAAATTATCTCTGTCATCAGAAGAACTCTGCTCTTTAATTTCCTTGATGACATTAAGTATCAAATTTCACCAGCTGGTTATACCTGGAGTTTGTTTTTGTTATTATTGTTTTGTTTGGGGTTCTGTTTTGGGTTTTATTTTGTTTTATTGAGATAGGATCTCAATATGTGGCCCAGGGTAGCCTTGAGCTTCCTCAGCCTTCTGAGTGCTGGAATTGCAGGCATATACCGTCATAACTGGCTTTTATTTATTTAATGTTTCTCTTTTCCCTCTCTCTCTAAAAGGGTGCCAAAGAGTTTTTAGTGCCATCAAGAGAACCTGGAAAGTTTTATTCTCTCCCTCAGAGTCCTCAGCAATTTAAGCAGCTTCTGATGGTTGGTGGTTTAGACAGGTGAGACTTTTTTTTGTTTTTGATAATGTTAATAATCTAGAAAAGGGAAAAAGAAGGGAGGCAAGGAGGGAACAAAGTTGTCTGATCAGACACTGGTGAGATGCCTCAGTGGATAAAACCCATTGCCACACACACCCAGTGAACTGAGTTCAATACCCACAACCCTCATAAAGGTGGAAGGAAAGAACTGACTCTACAAAGTTGTCCTCTAACCTCCACTCGTGCATCCTCGTTCATGGACTCACACACACATACATTCACACAAACTCAGTAATGTCTGATCTGAAGAGGTTAAAAAATTTATGTGAGTTTAGAGAATGCTTGTACCCTAAGAATTGTAGTAGTCATCATTTAGTAAAGATGTATTGGTTGACCATCAGATACAAAGCAACTAGATCTGGTAGGGGAGTAAAAAAAAAAACATGGACCTTCTAGTCTCAAGGAACTAATGACTAGTAAAGTAAAACAGGATAATAATAAAGGTATCAAACAAACCAAAATATAAAGTACATTGAAATCTGCAAAGTAAGTATTAATTGTTTGAAATTTGATTGTTTGGGAAGATATAGAAAGCATTATAAGCTGGACCCTCAGAGACATCTTCAATGAGCCCATGAAGATTAGAGCTGGAATGGATGCACAGCACAGGAGGGCTCAAGAGTGCACTCTCAAAGCAGTCCTTCAGTTTGCTGGAAGCAAATATGTATATGTAAAGAAACATGGACTGGCTTGCAAGCAGCCAAATATATGAATATGCAAAGACGTTAGACCAAAAAAGGACCAAAGAGGAAAAAAAAAAAAAAAACAACCCAGCCGGATGTGGTGGCACATGCCTTTAATCCCACCACTCCAGAGGCAGAGGCAGGTGGATCTCTGTGAGTTCAAGGCAAGCCTGGTCTACATAATGAGTTCCAGGCCAACTGGGGCTACTGGGGAGGCCCTGTCTCAAAAAGAAAAACCAAAAAAAAAAGAAAAAGATGTTAGACCATATTGTGAGAACCATCTATAGAATAGTAGCTTATCATGGGTAAGCTATGTATCTCATTAGATTTGAGCATCATAAAAAATAAATTTTGGGCTCTCCTACCCAGAGGCCTCTCTCCAGGGTAAATCCATTGTGCCCTCTGCGCCTTGACTCCCCCAGCCTCATTCACCCTCCCATCTCCACCGCAGTTCTCTCCTCTGAGTTTGGGCCCTGCCCCATTCCTTGTATTCGGGCCCCAGACACCTGGGGAACCAATACTGCTCCCTGATCCTTTTCATCCAGACCAACGGAGTGCCTTCTCTGAGCCCAAGGAGCACTGCTTCTGGACCTGGCCCCGCCCTCAACTCCCTCTGCTTTTCTGGGCCTTCACCACCCACCAGCCTCTTTCTGGGACGCTGGGGCTGACCTTTCCTCTTCCTGATCCTTTGTATCCAGACCAACCCAGCTCCTCAGTGCAGTCCCCAGGAGGCCTTGGGGCCTCTTCCTGCCCCATCTGCCTTTGCATCTTTTGGTGGTATGGCCACCAGCTGCCCTAGACCAACATCTTTCCTGGGCCAGGCTTCCAGGCCACTCCAACCCCCAAATTCCTGAGGCCAAAATCGTTCCTGGAGGGATCCAGACCTTAGGAGAAAGACGGAAAACACCTGACCCTCACCTGAATTGGGCCTCTGTGGGAACTCCTGAAGACAAAAGCAATCCAGCCACTCCAATATAAAATCAAAAGAGAACCAGAAGCTTAGACGAACCAGCTTTTCATACCCAAAAAGTAAACCACAAAGACACATAAAGCTCAAAAATAAAAGAAGCAGAACTAAACTTGAAGAGTCAGAAACTACAAAAGAAATTCACATGTCAAAATCACAGAGAAAAAATAATAACATGAAAAACCAAATTAACATATACCCCCAAATACCAATAGTACTCTAGAGGAGTACAATGAGAGCCCCCTAGAGAAAATGCAGGACATGGAACTCAAAAGAACAATTATAAACATGATAAAAGAATTCAGTGAATTTAAAGAACACACACAAAAAAAAAGAAATCAAAGAACTGAAGGAAGATAGGGATAAATTTCTGAATGAATTCAGAAAAGAGTTAGAAATATTGAAGAATACTCAGGCTGAAATGAAGAAGGAAATGAAACACTCAGTAAGCCAATTAGAAATGACAGGAGAAAGCCTCACCAATAGGATGAACGAAATGGAAAACAGAGTATCAAGACTGGAAGATAAAGTGGATGAACTAGACCACAGAAGCAAAGATTATGAAAAATATAAGAAATCACAAGACTGGAATATGCAGGAATTGTGTGACACCTTAAAAAGACCAAACGTACAAATCATAGGCATACAGGAAGGAGAAGAATCCCAAGATTCTTGGGACCAGATCTTCAACAAAATCATGGAAGAAAATTTCCCAAAATTAAAGAAAGACATGCCCATACAAACACAAGAAGCATATAGAACACCAAA